TTACGAAGAGACTTTATGTTGGTTTGACTTCAATTTGTCATCCGTCTGTCGCTTTTAATTTGGACAACTGGGTCACCAAAGGCCACTATGGATATACTGTGAATGCTAGCTTTAGCATTTGTTCCTTTCGACATGACAAATGAATATGAACCTGGTTATAGTGAGGCTATGGAGCTTTTTTAAAATAAGAAATAACATGTCTTCTTGCTTTTACAATTTGTACAAAAAGCACAAATGATATGCAACTGAATCCTTCTTTAATTCACTACAATCAGAGGTTTTGCTGATAAATCTGGTTTTAGTCTGACATTAACAATAGCTTGTGATGGCTGATTTCAAATCTTAAGCAGCTGTTGTTGCTGTGTAACAGACATAATTGTTCTCTGAGTTATTCATTCTTACATTCTTTTATTTACACAGAAATTAATAATAATTGTATATAATTTCAATATAACTTTAAAAATGTTTTGTTGAATGTTTTGGTTTCTAATGGCTGCACATTGACATTTCTGTATAAAAAGCTGCTGGGCTTAGATCTTCTTACCCCAAGTATCTTTTTCAGCGTTTCACCTTAATGGCACTTTACTCCTTCTTATAATTCATAAGGCACGCATCATCCGAGGACAGACGCACACCACATACAGTCTATGCCATTCATGCAGTAGCGAGCAGGATGGGACAATTGACCTAAAAAATAATAGACACTGTATAAATAATCCAAAGTGCTCCACCTTATGCTGGTTGGCAATAATGCTCACGTATTAATATTTCAGCTCGACAGACCTCCACATCTCTCCTACACTTCTGGAGGCTGGGTCTCGAAGAAACCGCCCGTACAATCAATAGGATAAAACAAACTGCAAATGCTTTCAATTCCACAGCTGATGTGAATCTAATGGCCAGTTAAAGATTGTGATTACGAGACACGGAGCTCGAAACAGAGACCTTTATGCAGTTAAGCAGGCTTAGCAATCATTACTTCATGTTTATGCATTAAGGGACTGTATACAGTAGGCATCCGTGGAGGCCAACTTTCCCTTGAAGCTTATGCATATTGACTCACTCATCATCCTCCCTCAGTATCCTTGGATACGTGTTATTTATTCATTTTTTTGGTCTCCTTCACTGCAGAGCCGCTGTGTTTTAGAGCAAACCAGCCAGATCAGGTGATGATCATGTGTCTGAGCCGGGGGGGTCTGCAGTATCTGCTGTTCAATCTGGCACACACACACACACACATGCAAACACACACAGACAGTGGTGTAAGTCTACTCTTTTAACAGCATGCAGAATTGAATTTCACAGTGTGGTGAGATGTGAACAATTTATCTGTTATCCAGAGCTCAGTTGGTCAGGAGGGTTCAATACAAGGCCTCCCATCAAAGACAATGTTTATTAACAGACAACAGGCAAAAGTCACCCCCACCCTCTCTGGTTTCAAAGAGAACATCTGGTCCTCTGCATGCTTGAGTCATTGGGGGTTGCTCGCTATAACTGCGAAACTGGAGTATTTCATTGTTTGAAAGCCTTCCAAACTCTGATGCATGACTTAAATGAGCTCAGTCTACGTTGGAGTCTTTTCCAAAAGAAGAAGTTAGTAGAGTGGTGATGTCGGTCATATTGGCGAGACAACAAAATGAGGCAAAACACTGTCCAGGAAATCCACAGGCATCACGCTGAAGCTGTTGAGCGCCGCCACCAACAGATGCAAGTTTCTGAAGCCCCAGAACACTTTTCATTTTTTCTTTCAGAACGATGTTAGATAGGGCAGACAGATTACACTTGGTTTACCTGAGTAAGGTGGGACGCTTGTTCCACATTTGGAGGGGCAGATATCTATAAATGCAATCTCATATCAGAGGTGCGTCACTATAATGAGTCTCACAAAAGCTTCATAATAGCCTCCCACTCAATGAGCCTGAGTGACTCATGAAAAACTCTCTGACGTTGGTTCTCCTCCGTTCTTTAGCTTCATCTGACACCCGTCTGGGAGTAATCTCTCATCCCAGTATGTGGTTGTAAATGGGTTAAATAGAAACCCCAAGCAGTCACTCACCACTACAGAATGAAAGGATTTTCTTTTTTTTTTTCTTCTTCTTCTTCTTTCACCTTTTCGCCTTCCTACAGGAGGCTGTCAAGCATTGCAGCGCCACTTTCACGTTTCTGTGCCTCTTCCTCTGTGACGGGGGAGGCACAGGTGAATTCTGGAGTTTTACCATAAATTCAGACATACTTTGATGGTTTGCTTGTAGAGTATAAGGCAAATAGTTGATAGATATTGACTTGTTTGTTTTCCTAGTGTCACATGTTATTTGTTGTATTTAAGTACGTCTGCTTATTTTTTCTTACACTATCCGATACTTATATGCTTAAAAAACTTAACTCTGTGTGTCAAGGTTGCATATTTACATTTTTTTCTTTTTCACCATGAAAATAATCTCTTCCCACATGAGAATGACTCAGATGTAATTAAACGCCATTGCTTCCTTTACAATGTGCAGATCTATGAAGTCCCTGCCTCTTTCTCCACCCGACCCTCTTCATTTGCTGCAGCTGGAGCACACCAGCTCACCTACGACTCTGTAAAACTACTCTGCACGACACAATGTTCAGTTATAATGTTGGAGTTTTGTCAGACACATATGTTCGAACCAAAAAGCACTTCTGCAGAACCATAACTGATAAGGTTGTTTCCTGCAAGTCTGAATCTGTGTTTTTGAGACTGTCATTGTGATGCTGCAGTTTCAAGGTGAAAATGCTCTTCCATGGTACTGACTGCTTGTTTTGCTCATGATGTGTCTTCAAGCACATAAAGACACAATTCTGACATGTTAAAGGAACTCGATGACCCCACCGGACTCCATTGAATCACTACTGCAGACAAAATACTAGAAAGTAAATGGCGTGAAACCTTGAACTATAGTTTTATATTTTTTCCCACTCTGTTATCATACAATCCAACCAAGCTGACATTCAACAGGAACTCCATTTCCCAGCATAGTCACAGATTTTAAAGTGATGGTAGAAGCTTGGAATGATAAAAATTAAAAAATGAACGAGGGATCTGTGGGTCAAAAAATATACCAAAAAACAAAAATAAACCAAAAACAACTATGGTTAAAAAAAAAAGTTCTAGCATATGTGCACAACAAGTCAAGAAACAGTCAACTGCACTACATTTTACTTCTGAGCTACATTCGTTAGACTGAAGCAACTCTGACACTCCAAGAACGCAAAAAGGAGAACAAAACAAACTATGTTAAATGTTTGCAGCCTATACGAAGTCTGTTTGGCAACTTTGAGCAACGTTTGATGATGTGAAAGTAGCAGTCAGAAGATCCACTTCTCAGACAAAACCACAAAAACAGGAAGACACGTATGTATTGTTAGACATTAAACTCCTCCTCTGCTTCATATTTAGGTTTAGTGCACAGCCTGTGTGTGGCTTCTGACAACTCTTCATGTAAAACTGTGGTACATCTGCAGCGAAGTTCTCATTAATGATCTTTTGTTTTAGGACACATTAATGGTAATTATGCTGAGTGGTGGTGATTACTAGCTAAGCTCATTTAAACTGAGTCTTTATTGAGATGAGGCAGCTTAGTTGCAGCATAAAACACACGCACACTATATAATTTTGCAGTAGTATTAGCTGCTAGCATGCTAGTTATCTATGGAGGAAGTGATCACATAGAGAGATGTACTATTTAGTCCCTGCTCAGGTAATTCAAGATAATCTGCCCTTCTTTTATACTGTGACAGACACGCCTCCAGTGTAAGATGCTTTTGGAGATGAGCAGCATGTCTTTTAGACTCAAGTCTTAAAATAGTATCTAAAAAAATGTCCCCCTTAAAAAGTGTTTTCTTTCAGTAATATTTTGCAGGACATCCAACAAGTGTGAATGAGTGGAATAGCATCAAGCCAGTTTTATTCACACGACAAACCCAGTGCTCATTTGGCCCATCGAACTGTTCAGAGTTCATCAACTGGACCCCTCTCTCTGTCCCCAAATTCACTCACGTAACCCAATTATCAAATGGCACCAGGTCTTTTTTAAACCTCATTCTGCCCTAAATCTGGCACCAAAAATAAACTGTGGTCGAGCATTTGCACAGCAGCATTTGGTCCTAAGCTCTTTCACTCCGCCCCCCCCCCCCGGGTGGGCTGCCACAAGCGCTGGTTTGGGTACAGGACCACCAGACAATAGACATTCTGTTCCCCCCATATACACACACACATAGAGTGACAATTTAGCCATGGCTCATTTAACCCTGGCCTTTCATCCAGGCTGCGACCCCGAAGTAAGAGTCCCTAATGGGAGCCTAAATTCTTACTGAAAGACAAGCGGGCGGGAAGAAGCAAAAACACGCACAAAAGCACGTTCAGTAGTCGTTTAAACCTGCTACAGCGGAGAAAAATCGCCCACCGCGTGCAAAGTTTCACAAATACGAGCACATTTCGGCTGCGCGGCGTTTAGCAGTAAATATAAACACCCTCACACTCGCGCTGCCTATAACCACAAATAATGTGAATTTCCTTCCTCTCTGCAGCACAGAAAGCAAACGATGCTCAGCCGTCACCCACACAGTTTGCAAAAATACCCAGATGCACATCCCGGCTCACCCATGATTCATTTTCACACCGCGTGGACAGAAAAAGTCACTGAAACAATGTCAAACACAACTCTGGCATTAACAGCAGCAGCAGCACTCTCACACACAGAAAACAGAGTAGTACCCCCCCCTCTACTCTTATTGCCAGCAGGCTAGTGGGAGATGTTAGTCAAAAGGGGGAAGGGGGGGTGTTGTGAGGACATGCTGAATGTGTGTGTTTTTGTGTGTGAGTGTGTGTGTGTGGTGGGGGTCTTTGTGAGCAAGAGAGGTAGGAGGAGGAGGAGGAGGAGGACGAAGAGGGACGAGGGGAGGGGGGACACAGCGTTCTATTTCTCATAGACCAACAGCTGCTGTCTTTAGTGCAGAGAGAGAGAGAGGAAGAGGGAGGGCTGTGTGGCGTGAGGCAGTGCGTGTGCTCAGTGTTTAGGTGAATCCACAGCCCTCTGCCTCACAAGGATAAAGGATCCGCACAGAGGAAGATAGAGAGAAAAGCAACACAGGGACTTTCTCTTGCTTTTTTTTTTTAAAAGCATCCTCTGCGCTCTTTCTTGTTTTTTTCGCTTCATTCTCTCCACCGGCAGCCCTCCGTCTGTATTTTTTTTTTGCTCCTTTTGTTCCCCCGCATCCATCTCTGTTTCAGTCCAGAGAGAAGGAAGGAAGAGCAGAGTCAGAGGCATCATCATCCACCCCTCCTGCACGCCCAGCCGGTAAGCTGAGCTCAACTCGTCGTTTCTCTTCATTTTTCTTTCAAATCCACCTAGCAGCAATTGTGGGGGGGGGGGGGGGGGCCCCCCTTCCCCAAAAAGGGGGGCAAAGGGGGGGGGGGGGGGGGGGGGGGGGGGTCCCACCTTGCACCTAAAAGGGAAGCTGCAAAGCTGGAGAAGGAGGCTGAGGAGGAGAAGGATGGATGTGGGTCAGACTGGAGGCTGGTGGGTGACTGGTGGTCAGTTTGAGCAGGTTTTAGCTGGATGGTGTGTCTCAGTCGAGTGGATGTGGAGGACCAGAGTGGGTCAGGGTCTCAGGGGTAGGGAGAGAGCGATTGAATTAAACCCTGTGGAGCTGGTCAACTGGGACTTGTCCTTTTTTTTTTTTTACTGCAGTGCTTAGCTAGAGAGGCACGGTCACTGCCACAGTCGCACACATACATCAACACACGCTCGCGCAAACACCTCAGCAAAGATGAGTCGGACCCCGTCAGGAGAACATGGAGTCCGTGGAGTTGTGCTCTTTTTCAGTGATGGATGACAATTTGGTCAAAGGACATATGTGACCCAGAACCATCACAGCACATGCATCATATATCACACTGATGCACCGGAATGGTCCGCGAACAATGTGGATAAAATGCACGTCAAGCACGATGTCTGGGATCGCTCATAGAAGGGGGTCGAGTTTTTATGCTGCAAGGTGTTTGAGGTGTGAGCTGGCGCGAGTCATTTCTGCTAAAAACAATAGCCCCAGATTGCAAATGCTGATCAGAAGGGGTGGGTGCATGCGACTAGAGTGGAAAACAGGGAGGAGAGAAGGAAGGAAGGAGGGAGGGAGGAAAAAACTGAATGGAGGGATGAATGAATGAGGACGAAGGCTTTTCAGGAGCGTTTCGTTTCTTTTGAAAATGTGAAAAAAAAAAAATGTGGCAGAGGAAAGGATGTGCATGGTTAGATGGAGGTGGGGAGCAGAAAGGGTGATACCGAGCTACCATGTGACTCTGCAGGTCTTCTTTGTGTGTGTGTGTGTGCGGGGGTGAGATGCTGTGGATGGAGGGATGTAGAATAAATAGCAAAAGGTAGAAAGAGGAAGTGGTGATGAGGCGGATGTGGGGACGGGTGGAGAGGGACAGAGACTGGCAGCAGAGGTGTGTGATTGAAAGTTCTGGCGTCTGTCTATCCCTCTGTGATCGACTGACTCTGGTTATAATCCGTGTTAGCAGATTAGCAGATGACTTCCTGACATGTTCAGTTTCATGATGCAACACACAATACAAATTACACACAGCATGCATGTCTTCTCTCGTTTTATATTCTAGCTGCACGTATCTTGTGCACATGCGTGGCCATATACTTATGCACACATATGTACAAAGGCATATCCTAATATGTACATGTTCAGTATGCATGGTGCACATGTACTGATACATACACATGTGGTACATACACTACATGTTTAAAATATTACATAATACTGACTATTGCACATCTATGTGAATGCTTACACGTATCTAAATCTAAAGTGTGTTAATCAAAATGTGTGTGTGTGTGTGTCAGATTCTTCTCAGCCTGAGATGGAATGGTGGCTGCTATGGTATTTACTCCGCTGTTGCTAGGACACTCCCTTTGAACATTTTAACCGAGCCGTTTCATTGGTCCGCCGCAATGATGCAAGATTCCCTCACCCCCAAATCTTTCCTGAGCGCCCATAGAAACATGCCCGTCTGCATTTCCTCCACTCTCCTCGCTCCTTCCTTGTCACTCTTTTGTCTCACCCCTCCCCATCCCTCTCGCTTTACTGACAGGAGAGATCTCCTCGTCCGCCGTTCTCTCCGTATCACCCTCTCCTCTCTGCCGTCACTTCATTAATTAATTCCTGCTCTCGATAATTCCCTCCCTCCCGACCATCTTCGGCGTCTCCGCGCTCCCTCTGCCACTTCCTTCTCCCTCGTCCAGTCAAAACGCTCGCCCGCAAAATGGTGTTGACAGCATGTGGCGTTGTCTTCCAGTGCGGCACAGTCGTTCTCTCCTGCTGTCTTGCGGAGGATTAATACTCTGTGTGTGTCACAAAGTCCCATTTCCTCTGTCCGTGCGAGGTGAGGTGCCTTATTAGGCTGCCTTACCGTGTGTCAAGATTATAGGGTTTGACAAGGCGGAAGACAGAAGTGGGGGTTGGGGTGTCACGGGGGGAGGCTCACTTTGTATTTCTCTTAATGTACATTACATTAGACATTACATTTAAACATATTTTCTCCTCTAAAACAATCCGTTGCATCATCACCCCATGTTCACAGTCATTCAGAAGACGTGGGGAACCTTACAGCTCCAGCATGTCGGTGGGAATAGAAGATGGGGGTATGTGAGGTTAGCTGGAAGGGGGCGAAAAAAAATGAAAGCGCCCAGAAAAAGGAGTCGAGGGTTGATGATGTTTGTCTTGTTTGCTGCTCTTCTCACTGTTTCTCACCTTTGAAGAAGCCCTCTCAACACAGCCCATCAGGTGTAATGATGTGTAATGATCTCCTCCAGCCTCCGCTCAGCTACAGACATGGCTAAAGCTGCAGCATAGCCTCAGCTGACAGTCTATGAGTAACACACATACGATGACATGAAGATATGTGCAGCTACTCCAAAGTGTCACGATGCATGCCCGAAACAAGCATTTTGTCAAAACATTTGGACTCAGAATAGGGGCTAATAGAACGACATCTACTCCTACCTGCATCTGTCTGTGAAGTCAGGATTCATTCTGGTATCATTTTAGAAAAGCAGTTCTTTACTTCAGTCGCTCATTTTAAAGGTTGTGATATCTGAACATCCTGTACTCATCCCATGACTGCTTGTTGAAAAGTGAGTCAACAGTAAATCATTGCTCTTTTTTTTTTAAACCCCAAAAGCCCATCAGAGAGTCTTTTACCGTCGCAGAAACCAGCGGATGTACAGTCAGTCAATCCTTTTGTTGAACTACAACATCATCCATATGTTTGTCCATGTGGCCCAACTGGTTTTTCCTCAAAGCGCCTGACAATCCATGTTTCATCCCCAACACTCCTAATCTTTCTGACTGGCCGATCCATCTGTCCGGCAGCAACATCTGTCATTCAAACATCTGCCACTCGAGCTCTCGCGCTTGCTGTTGAGGCTTCTTTTGTTTTTGTCAAGAGTTCAGAGGTTGGATCAAGCTGGTGTTGTAGCTGAAATAATTTAGGAATTTGAGATGTGATCCTTCTCCACCTGATAATCTTGTGGCTGTTAATCCAGTATTGTCAGGAATTAGGGATTACTGCCTCAGAGCAGAGATGATCCTGTTAAAAGGGCACAGGGTGGAGTGATGGAGGGTGAGGCCTGGTCCACGTATAGCATGCTGGAGGCTTTACTGGATCTATAGCAGAAAGGATAAAAGTGAAACTGGGGTTACTGTCTATGACTTGCTTTTGTTGTCTTGCTGCAAGTTCATTACAAAGACCGATATAGTCTGTACTGTGAATATCAAGCTACAGGCTCGTCGCTAGTTAGCTGAGCTTTGCATGAAGACTGCAGCTCGCCTGTCTGTCAAACTTCCCACCACTGCCTCTTAAGGTTACCAATCAGTGCTAATTAGTTCATCATATCAATATTATATATGTATTTCTCACAAATTCTTGGTGCAAAAAATCTTTACTGTGGCACATAATCCTGCACAAACCCACAACTAGTCGCTTTAACAAACCAAACAAGACAGAACTGGTTTAAAACACAAAATAAACAACCTGATGATAGTAGACTGATTTTTTTTTTTAGTGATGGACTGAAACAAAACATCAACCTTTAAACTAAATCAACAGTCCTCTTGGTAAGGTAATATCACTCATTCCTGGTGCTATTTAAATTTCCCCTTTCTGTCACCATCAGGGATTTTCTGGATGTGTCAGTATCTTAAAACAAAGTAGAACACGGATCCTCAAGAGCTGCCAGTAAAGCATTTGGTTCTGATTTCATAGAGTATGAAGTTCCACAAGTCTCTGCATCGCTAGTTTGGAGAGAAACGAGTCTTAAGACTCAACACTTAATTAAAAATCGAGACGAACACATTTTGAAATGAGGGATTCTTTTAATTGAACACATATCTTTGAAGCAACTCACTGAATCAGTGAGAAAGTAGATTGAGAAGGCAGTGAGATTTAATTCTCCATGACAAGGGAGCCAAGATCTGATAACTTTTCGATCATACTTAAGTCTCAGCGTTGGATAGCACTTGTGAAAACTACTGAAAAGTCTTATTAGACTCTGTTATCGTCCTTGTTACGGGCATCCTGCTGAAACTCTTTGAAATGTGCGCTATTACATTGAGTAAGACATGGAGACGAGCCACAGTGAGTCCCGTCCTGCTTCTAACCAGACATGACGGGGCCTGTCCAACTCTCTCTTTCAATGGCAACGAAGGAGGAGAGGGTTGATTTCTCCATGTAATCAGATTACCTCAGATCTGTTCCCTCAGGACTTCCGACGATATCATGGCCTGTTGTATGTCGATGAGATCCATCGCTGTCCGCAAACATCTATAGCCCCAGTGCTCACCCTCTGGTCATATTTAAGATCAATATCCCCAATTCAGTGCACAGTGGGAGGACAGGGAGTGATACTGTGCTGCAATTAGTGTGTAATATGTGAAGAGACAAACAATCTTCTCAGCAGTGGCATCAGCTCACTTTAAAGGTTCTGCTGGATAATATGTCCAAGTGTTTGGTTACTGAGGCTCGTGATTAATGTATTGATAGGAAGGAGGAACACTTATTAGACATGGCCTATAAGCCTGAATGACTAAATTAATGAGTGCTTGTATTGTAAAGCACTTTCATCAGGAAAGACATGTTTCATCACAGGATGAACGTGATCACTCAGAGCAACTTTGGCCCAAACCCTGCCAGTAAAATGCTCCCTTCAGTGTAACTGACCAGGTCTGTAGAATTTGTCAGTTTTCTGTAGTTAACAGCCATGATATAGAATGTAATCAACTATACTTG